GTCACGGTGTTTGTTACTAAACTGCTCCGAAACGGCTTTACCGATTTTTATGAAATTTTGTGTGCATATTGGGTAGGTCTGAGAATCGGCCAACATCTATTTTTCATACCCGTCAATGATAAGGGTGACCCACACCAAAATATATTTTTTTCTTTTTTTGAAATTTTTTTTTTATTTTTATTTTATTATAATTTAGCATTGAAAAATACACACAACTTTAAATTTTCATCGTTTTACGATCAACCCCTGTATCGCGATTTTTATATTTCGCAATAAGTGGTAAAACAACGTTTACGGGGTCAGCTAGTTATACTGTAAAAAATTACTCATACATGTAGTAAAGTTACAAATATGAATTTACAGGGTACAGAGGAATAACACCTGAGTCCTCAGGAATAGCAACGCATGGGAGGTATCACGGGCGAAACAGTATACTCTGTTATGTCCATGGTACTGCTCATGTCTATAGGCGACGGTTACCACTTTCCATCAGGTGGGCCGTCAGCTTGTTTGCCATTCTAAGCTGTATAAAAAAAAAAAATAGGATTCAGCTCAATTTATGTTACATCAAACGACAATCTAGACATATTTTTATCTCGATTTTTCAATCCCTTATTTACCTGAGAGCTAGCACGTTTTTCGCTCAAAGTTGAAACTGTAAAAGGTAATGACACGTAAGCACTTTGAAAACATGAATAAATCCTCTCTTACATTATTAGGTATAAAGAGAGAATTAGGTGCAAATTGAATTGTTTTTAAGAGTTCCAACATGAGGAGAAATCTACCAATTCTTTTGTATTTTTATTAAACGGTTTTTAAACGGTTTTATTTAGCTCGACCTGTACGGTATTTATTTATTTGGGTCAAAATTAGAAATTGGAATTTAAGCACTTTCCCGTTGTCAGATTGATCTGAAATTTGGTACACACATTTAATTTAGATGACAATACAATATAATAAAATCAATAACATTATAAATCTAAGATGGCCGCCGATACAAAATGGCGGATTACATATTTTTCCTTAACCCCCGCAATATGGGTATCAAAGGAAAGGGCTACACTAGTAAAACACGATGATTATGTCAAAATTTAAAATTCAAGATGGACGCCGTTCCAATATGGCGGACTAGGTACATATTTTTCCACAACCACCACAATATGGGTATCAAATAATAGGACTACACTGAGACAAGACACTAGACACTCGGACACTAGACACTCAGACGCTAGACCCTCAGACACTAGACACTCAGACACTCAGACCCTAGACACTCGGATACAAGACACTCGGATACAAGACACTCAGACACTAGTCACTCGGACACTAGACACTCAGACACTAGACACTCGACACTCGACACTCAGACACTAAACACCAGACACAAGACACTCAGACACTAGACACTAGACACTCGTCACTAGACACTCGACACTCGACACTCGACACTCGACACTCGACACTCGACACTCGACACTCGACACTCGACACTCGACACTCGACACTCGACACTCGACACTCAGACACTAAACACTAGATACTAGACACTCAGACACTCGACACTCAGACACTAGACACTCGACACTCGACACTCAGATACTAAACACTAGACACTAGACACTCCGACACTCGGATATAAGACACTCAGACACTAGACTCTCAGACACTAGACTCTCAGACACTAGACACTCAGACACTCAGACCCTAGACACACAGACACTAGACACTCGGATACAAGACACTCAGACACTAGACACTCGGACACTAGACACTCAGACACTAGACACTCGACACTCGACACTCGACACTCGACACTCGACACTCGACACTCAGACACTAAACACCAGACACAAGACACTCAGACACTCGACACTTGACGTCACTCGACACTCGACACTCGACACTCGTCACTCGACATATAAATACTAAACACTAGACACTAGACACTCCGACACTCGGATATAAGACACTCAGACACTAGACTCTCAGACACTTGACACTCAGACACCTAGACACTAGACACTCAGACACTAGAGACTCAGACACTAGGCATTAGGCTTTTAGGCATATTAGACTAAAATAAAAACGTGGGGCCCCTCTGAAATCATACCTATAGCAGAGCATATCTTATACTTTGGTAGATCATGAGCTCGGCGTTCGCTGGTGAAGCCGTAACGGCTGGTTATTGATGGTCAAAACCTCCAGTTACGATTATAGTAAGTCGATTCAGCGGACCCTGGACTCCGGAGCTATGAGGTTTCGGATGCGACCGGGATAAACCGCTAGGATGATGATGATGACGATTATAATAAGTCGATGCAATCCACACTTAGTATAGTAGAAAATAATACAGAAATAGTTAATGGGCCCCACGTTTTTATTTTAGTCTAATATGCCTAAAAGCTATTCTGCCTAGTACTAAAATATTTCTGAACTAGAAGGTCAAAATACCTACTTGTTATAGTGTGGGCTGCTTAGTTTACCTAGAGGTGTTAGTGTTCTCTCATGAACTGCCTTTCGGCCGCTGACATGGTTCATGTTATGACAACCACTACCATCAGAGATATTAATAACCGAGATCACCTACGTAGGTTGATAGGTAAGTAACTATTTATTTATTTTGTAGTTTTCAGTGCACATAAAATAAAACCGTTTAACTTAAAAGTTTTTTTACCGATTTTTATTATCTATATGTATGAGTTATGCGATTATGTCGCCAAATTTGAACTTATTCTAATAATTATATTAAAAATAATAGGAGTTTACTTCCGTGTGGTTCTTCAAGTAATTTTTTAACTATTAAAGCTTAAATTGGTTGTTGCGGAGCAAATAACTACTTATTGCTAAGCAATTTTTAATTTAGACACAAGTTTCTAAATTAAGGCGAGGGATGGGCAGCAGTGTCTCTCTTAAAACATTTCTAAAAGTCTAACTGCGGTTGCCAACTCGCCTGCCAACCGTGGCAACTACTGGCAAAACTCTCCTTATGGGGAAAGCTTATTTCCAGCAGTATACAGTTAACGGCTGAAATAATAATAATAAAATAAAAATAGTTTTTTAATTTAATTTCTTTATTAGACGTCTTATCATTCTATTGTATGTTTTGTCCAACGAAAAGAAAAAGAAAAAAAATCATGTAAATATTTTATGTATTCTTTATATATACATATACTAGCTGACTCGGCAAACATTGTTTTACCATATACATTATTTCAAGAACTATACATGAAAATTTATCGTACTACAATTATTATATTCGATCGCCATCTTGCAACCCTATTGCGAAATATAAAAATCGCGATTAAAAAACAGGAGTTGATTGTAAAAGCGTGAAAATTTGAAGTTATATATATTTTTCAATGCTAAACCATAGTAAAATAAAAATAAAAAAGTTTGTCGATAAAATACAAAATAAAATATTTAGGGGTGGGTCACCCTTATCATTGAGGGGTATAAAAATTAGATGTTGGCCGATTCTCAGACCTACCCGATATGCACACAAAATTTCATAAAAATCGGTAAAGCCGTTTCGGAGGAGTTTGGCAACAAACACCGCGACACGAGAGTTTTATATGTTAGATATATATATATATTCTCTTTTTTTGCGTGTCTATCTGTGTCTATTGTTATTTGTGTGCTGTAAGTAATGCAAATAAAATTATGTATCTACCTATCCATCTCGATGAAACTTTTACAACGGCAGTTTGTTAAAAGCAATAATTTAAGAAAGCTTTTAAACATGCCCACCTAAAAAAAGGACCTCTTAATTTTACCAAAAAAAAAAGTACATTTCCTTCATCTCACTTTATAGTACCTAATCTTAGTACTTCCTACAGATTTCGTCGCTTGAGACGTTTAGAAAAAAAAATAAAGTTACCCTGTAAAAACATAAGTTTCAAGTTACGGGGAAGGGGATCAGCCGATAATGCTATTCTGTTGGGTGAAGAAGTTATTAAACTTGGAGGGAATGGAATAAGGAAAGTTATTTGATTACAGCTTCACGGCTATACATCGTTCAGGGATAAGCAGGCTCCCTGGACTCCGCTGCGATTGTTTTGCATTCAAAATGTCTACTTTACATTTTTTATGGTTTGGACGTGACTGATAAGAGGTTTGCGCCTTTAAAATTGTTTTTCCTTTAAGATGAATAGCTTTTTTTTTTTTTAATGTTAATATTTTTTCAATTTATTTATATATACGACTACATACATACATATCTGTCATGCCTGTCTCCCATTAGGGTAGGCAGAAACAATGGAACGCCAAATGCTTCGATTCAAACAAACCTCTTTCGCTTCTTCCACATTTATCAATCTTTTCATACACGCTCGCTGGTTTTTTTTTGATGGGTGAAAATGGTATGGTAACCCCGCCTGCGCTAACGGGATACGCTAGCGGAGCACCAGTGAAGGCTGATAGATGAGGATGAAAACAGGCCAGTTGGCCCATCATGATGAATTCATCAGGAATTAACCATGATAGTTTCCAGGGAGAACCGCGAGGAGGTCGACCTGGTTGGGTATATTACTAACAATGGGATTCTCAGTCTCCATTACTAACAATCCCTTTCCCCCGATATTATTGAGTTTATCTTTAGCTGAACGGTTTTTACCCTTGAACATTCTATAGTTACCTTTCAACTCCTCAAAGGTTGACTGTAACAGATCCCTCTATGGGATAAGTCCGCCATTGTATATTAAGTCTTTCAATATGTCCAATATAAATCATGTACAATAAAGATTTTACAATATAGTACAATATTTCTATATTAAATTTCAATTAACCCTTTCAGAACTGAATTATTTTTTTTCATCCGATGGATTTGGTAAATTCCATGTGTCTAAAGTATAATAAGGAGACTATAAAAAAAATAAATAAAAAAAAATTAACTTTACATTTTTCGAAGAAATCTAGTTTTTCTTAATGTGCACAAATGTGGACTCCCGTCCTACATAGTAATAAGAATAAGGTATACGAAGTTGTTCTGAAATGAAATAATATTAATTTAAAAACATTTTTATTACAAAATTATAAATGAATTAACGTAGTTAAATTTTTTCTTTGTGATAAAATAAACATTTATTAGTTTTTTGGCATAATCAGTTATTGGTACAAATATAAAAACACAGTAAGAACAATAATTAGGAAAAAAAAATCTTTATCTATGTGTGGAAAGCCAAGAAGCAATTCTTGTCTTTGGTTAGGTATAAATGAACTTTGCATTTTACACGGGATTTTTCCTTGCATCTCACCATTTTACACCTAGTCCCAGTTCCATCGTCATGTTTAGGGAAATGCCCAACACCGTCACGAGTTATTTCAGCTGCAGGACGAATCTCTCCTGGCCTTCTTGGTATAATTTGCTACTACTGCTACTTGGTCGACCTCTTTTGGTGGTAGAACATTTATCTTGTAGCACCAAACTGTCAGCCAAGCGACGACGAAAGTAAAGTAAGTCCTTGCTTTTTAGGTGTGCCGTTACAAGTCGTTATCTATTTGGTATTCTTGATATGCCTGAAGAACTTCCACATCCGATGCATAAAATATCATACGCAGAGTAAATTTTTTTGATTCTATAAATGTTCTGTAATAGCTCATAAGTTGATCTAATAAATTAACGCCACCCATTGCATGATTATAGCGCTTTAAGACCTCAGGTTGCGCAACCTCAATATATCGCTTCTTTTTTTACACCATCTCTTTACTAAGTCCTTGTCACCTATACCAACAAAATTGGAAGCCAAATGGGTAATCTTATTGTCCAACCACTTTACATCAGTTACATCTCCGTCTCTGCTACATACTTCTTGAAAAAAACCCCTAGGCTTCTTATTTGTTACCTTGTCACTTAAAAACGGTGGTTTAACAAATCTGTTAACACGAGCTGTGCATGCGGCCATAATATCTTTTTGTTTTAGGATTTGTAGTAAATGGTATGATGAAAAATTATTGTCAAAGTAAAGCAGGGACGCCGTCATAAAATTCGCTAAGTCCTTCATTGTCATCAAATTCAGGTGGAAAAAACTCCCTTTAGTTTTGGTAAATGACATCTGCGCTAATTCTAGCATTAGCTGCTAGATTCAATTTGCTCGACGAATTGAATCTCCATAATAATTATCTTCGTCATCAGATGATAATAATAAGTCAGAAAGATCTCCTTCATCTTATCATACTTGTAACGCCTCCAATGAGGACATATTGGTGTTTTTGCATCTGAAAATATAAGTAAACAATATCATAATTCATTTTATATATTTATCTTACAAAAATGATTAATAAAACGTTAAAAATATAAACAAAACATATTTTTTTAAAAAACCGTGAACAATGAGAAAAACTCAGTTAAATCCTGATGGGAACAATTGAGCACAAATATAAAAATTGAGATTACCAATATAAGGTAATAAAAAAATACACAAATATTACGTTACACATGACCCCAATAATATTAGATATTCGTTTATATTTTTTCCAGATGATTTCATGCACTAATTTAATTTTTTTTAAATAAAATATAAAGCTCACCTGTACAGTTCAAATCACGCACGGACACTAGTCGCAAATTGTCGAAAAACGCTAGAATATCCTAAAAAATGGCGTAAGTAGTATTAAATTGAGTAGTTTATTAGTGAACAAACGAATACAACCCCTTTTCAATCGGAAAGCTTGAGAGTTTAATATTTATTTTTTAAATTATATCTTATGTCTACAATTGTGCACGCCAGTTCTGAAAGGGTTAATATAAACTCTTCCAAAATTGGCTCATGTTTCCAATTACTTTCCTAGTTTCCTGCTATCCAAGTTTGAGAACTAGATAATTAAAAGGATTGTATTATATCTAGGAGCCCCAAAATGAATAATGGTGTCCATTCTACAGCCATATCTCTGTTTAAAATTTCAATTTGATATTACAGTGAAATGGTTACTTTAAACACCACTGTAAACTACATTTTCAGTAGAGATGTTTTGTAAATTCATGACAATATATATTTGTTGTATGGTTTTGCTTAAAATAACAAATTAAAAACGTAATGCTGGCTGGAAAGAAGCCATATAGTATATTTAAAGAAAGAAAAATAATGATTTGAATTTTTGCACACCATTCTTGTATCTCTTCATGTAATGTCTTATAACTATAATTTTGTTATGTAAATAAATATAAAAAAACACTAGTGGAACTATAAAATTGGTATCATTTTGGTGTACGTCGTCTACGTAATTTTGGAAACAAATTTAGGGAATGATTAAATTCAATAATTTCGAATATATAATATATATATATATATATATATATATATATATATATATATATATATATATATATATATATATATATATATATATATATATATATATATATATATATATATACAACCCACTTCATTCGTATTCCTTTTAAAAAAGTTATTTATTTTTATTTATTTATTTATCTCTTTAGTGCACCATAAATAAAAATATACAATGACATGTGAATATTTCAAGTGAAATACACATTAAAATATACACATATAAAGGTATAAAAGGCTGTCTTATCGCTAGGGCAATCTCTTACAGACAACCTTTGGTTAACCCTTTGAGTGCCACGAGCGTCGTTACGCTCGTGAAATCAGTCGATGTTTAGCTTGCTGTGAAAAAATATTAAAATTGGATAATTTTTGGAGGAGATACGGTTTTTTTAGAGACAAGGGTAAATGACATCAACACGACAAAGATTTCTTTGGCATTTTTAAGTAGATATGAGGAAAAATCAATGGCACTAAAAGGGTTAAAGGAGAACAGATAGAAGTGGGCAGGTGGCGCAAGAGTGAATTAATAATTTTTCGTGCATAAAATACAAAAACCTGTAATGAACAAAAGATACAGAGACAAAGAAAAAGTACATGCATAAAAGATAAGATTTCAACATGTTTTCATAATAAATTTGAGATTTTCTACTGAAAACAAAAACAGCGGCAGTCCTGATAAAATTTATAGGTATGGGACCAACACGGGAGATTAAAAAACAAATGAGTTCTCAATCCACATGTTTTGCATTCGATGGGGTTCACTCCCGTCACGGGAGGAAACCCTGTTGAATGCAAATTGCGAATTATCAGAATCGATTCAGAATTTGCAAGCCTACCGTATAACATACGAAAAAAATAAGCAAATTGGGATTTTTTTTCTTTGTGGAGTCGCTAACGAAATTGAGGCACAGATCATAAATTAAACTGCAACAAATTTCTATTAATAATATTTTTAACCGACTTAATAAAAAGAGCTTTTCATTTAAACTAATAATATAAAGAGGAAGTGATTGATTATTTTTATTCATATTAGTATATGCATTATACTAAATATATAATATATATATAGCTGACTCGGTAATCGTTGTTTTACCATATACATTATTTCTAGAACTATACATGAAAATTTATCGTACTACAATTATTATATTCGATTGTCATCTTGCAACACTATTGCGGCATATAAAAATTGCGATTAAACGACAGGGATTGATCGTAAAAGCGTGAAAATTTTGAATTTCTATGTATTTTTCAATGCTAAATCATAATAAAATAAAAATAAAACAAATTGTCCAAAAAATAAAAAATAAATATTTAGTAGTGGGTCACCCCAATTATTGAGGGGTGTGAAAAATAGATGTTGGCCGATTCTCAGACCTACCCAATATGCGCACAAAATTTCATAAAAATCGGTAAAGCCGTTTCGGAGGTGTTTGGTAACAAACACCGTGACACGAGAATTTTATATATTAGATATATATATTTCATATGTATTAGTACATCCACATATACTAAGAATAATGTTTATGTATTATTTGTGTATGTATTATGTATATGAGTGACTTGTACCTAAAGCCGGTTTTGTTGATATAACAACTAATTAAATCTTCTTTCAAAAATATCCTTACTGGATGCTCTGCGTAGATCTACAGGGATTTTATTCCAGAGGCTGATAGCGGTAACGGTAAAAGAATTGGACATAAATCCAGAATGATGTGATGGCGTTTATTTTAATGAGTGATAATGGCATGGTAACCCCACCCGCGCTATCGGTATACACTGGCGGGGCACCAGTGAGGGATGATAGGTGAGGATAAAGCAGGTCGGTTAGCCCATCGTGACGAATTCAACAAGAATTGTGCACGATGGTTTCTAGGGGGAACTGCGTGGATGTTGACCTGATAAGGTGTATTGCTAGCAATGGGTTCATTAGACCCCATTTCTAACAATCCCTTTCCCCTCGATGTGATGGGGTTACGATGAGGAGATTGTGAGATGACCGAAGATTACGGGAATGGGAGTCGTCGAAGAACTGAAGTCTATCTTTCAAGTAAGTGAGAGAGGAAAGGTCACGGATGATTGAGAACAGTGTGCAAAGAACACGTAAGTCTGCAGTTACGAATGGTTAACCATTTGATTTTTTTATTTTTTTATTTATACAACTTAGAATGGCAAACAAGCTGACAGCCCACTTGATGGAAAGTGGTAACCGTCGCCTATAGACGTGAGCAGTACCATGGACATAACAGAGTATACTATTTCGCTCATGATATCCCCCATGTGTTTCCATTCCTGAGGACTCAGGTGTTATTCCTCTGTAACCTGTAAATTCACGCCATATCCCACCCTTCAAACCGAAACACAGCCACACGAATAGGACAGAGGTGTCCAAGCAAACGACTTTTGTACAAAGTCTCCCACTGGATTTATTAGTTGAATTGAATCATTGTTATTATTTTTGCGAAATGTATTAAAATTTGATATCGTAAATTACAGAAATAGGAAGGAATATAGAAAACGTTTTAGTATTACAATAATTAGGATGGATTTATGAGTAAGCGTTATTTTGTTATGTATTGTAGTTCATACCTACTGCTCGCAACGGAAATGAAATGTGAAGGAATGCCTTCGCCTGTAAACAATGATAGTGCGGAATTATTGGGTGGCCATCGATATGCTCGTATGTATAGGAATTAGGTCATGAATAGAATTTTACTTTTTACTGAATTTATTATTATTATATCGATGAGTATTTTTGTATTATTGACTAGTGACGTCATTTTTTTTTTATTGTTATGTTATTGTTACTTTGTTGGTTAGGTGTTTAAGTAAATACATTATGCACTAGCTTTTACTCGTGACTTTATCTTTCTAATCGGGATGCGCATGGTGTTAGTTGATTATGCACGGACTTTTAACGGCTATGTAACGATAACCGCTTACCTTTATGTTTGTTTGTTACCATAATCGTATAATATATTTGTATATTGCATAAAAAATACTATGGTGGCAAATAATATATATATATATATATATATATATATATATATATATATATATATATATATATATATATATATATATATATATATTAACTATCTGATCCAGACAACATTTATTTGACCCTTACCGTATCCTTTTTTAGGATTCCGTACCAAAAAGGAACAAAGGAACCCTTATCGTGCAACTTTGTCCATCCGTCTATTACAGTATCATATCTCAGCAACTGCTAATGCCGTAGATTTGAAATTTGGAATAATTTAACATATCATTAGCCTGCACATACTGCAATAAAAAAAAAATTGGAAAAATATTTTTATAATTTTTTTGCTGGGGCATCCAAAACTATAACTCAAAATTTCAAAATTAACTCTAAGTAGGATATTATATGAAAGGCCTTAATTAGTACGTTTTAAAACTGATTTTTACTTATGTTCACATTACTAATTGATTGAAATAATATTTTAAGAGAGACGCTGCTGCCCATTGTTCGCCCTTCCTTAGTCGCCCCTTACCACATCCACGGAAAAGGAAGGACCTATTCTATAGATATGTTAAGTATAGAATTTATCAAGGATTGCTTTATATTTCCTCTATTCAATAATGCACCGCCTACGTATTTCTCAGTTTGCCCAATGGTTGACTGGTAGAGAACACCGTCCGGTGTTTTTTTTAATGGGTGAAAATGGTATGGTAACCCCGCCTGCGCTAACGGGATACGCTGGCGGAGCACCAGTGAAGGGTGATAGATGAGAATGAAAACAGGCCAGTTAGCTCATCATGATGAATTCATCAGGAATTAACCATGATAGTTTCCAGGGGGAACCGCGTGGAGGTCGACCTGGTTGGGTATATTGCTAGCAATGGGATTCTCAGTCTCCATTACTAACAATCCCTTCCCCCCACCGTCCGGCGTTAAGTCTGCCAAATGTACATAGAATTTTACTGTGCATTAAAGTGTAAATAAATAAATATATCTAGACCAGACGGCATTAGCTTCTTTTTATATATAAAAATACAAACATCTGTACATACTTTCCCATTTATAATATTAGTAGGATGCCTAGGTGTTTTAAAATGTATATCTTTTAGTGAGGAAACAAGAGCGGAGCAAGGGCACGCCTTTGTCTTAACATCCTGCAACTGAGTGTTCCATTTGAAATTTTGTGACGCGCGATCATTTATCAAGTGGAGACGCTGCGAACCTCTGATTTTTAGGGTTCCGTGCAGGTTGGACATGTTTTTTTTTCTTCAATGGATGATTATGGAATGGTAACCCCGCCTGTGCTGACGGTATACGCTGGCAGGGCACCAGCGAGGGATAAAAGGTGAGAATGAAAAAGGCAGAGCAGTTAGCCCATCGTGATGAATACTAGTAGGGATTGCTAGTAATGAGGTCTAACAGCCCCATTACTAGCAATATACCCTCTCAGGTCGACCTC